GGAGTTGCCTTGCACCTTCTTCTTCACAGCAAAAGGGTTTGGGAACTTGAGACCTGCTGTCTTCTCCCTCTTCTTACACTCAAGGGAGATTTAGGGGTTTCTTCTCCCTCCGATTTCAGTTCCGAGGAGTTCGTAATAGTGAAAGGGGTTGTTGTAGAGCTTTTCTACTGTAGTTAAGGAAAGTAGAAGACCTACTCCCTCTCCCAAATCATTTCCAGTGAGCTTGGGACGACGGAGGTGACTTCCGGAAGCCTTCAAATGCTGAAGACAGCTCTTTACTGCACCTTGGGCAGCACATTTGTCTTCCGGAAGAACTTGGATAGGATTTGGAACATTTGGATGGCAGCACCACTTCCAGAAGCTTGCAAATAGCAGGTTGGAAGCTTTTGGAAGCTTACAAACAGTGGTTTGGAAACTTGGGAGCGCCTTGGACAGCAAAGGAGCCTCTCGAATCACCTGGGACAGCAACTTGGAGCTTTCAAAGGACCTTGGACAGCAACCTAGGAGCTTGGAAAATGATCCGGAGCTTGGATTGGAGCGCTAGGACAAACCGGGGAGGTAAAACACTGAAACTTAGTGAAACCTAGGGTCCCCCAAGGCCAATTGTTGTGTGTTTGACGCCCCCTAAGCCCTAGGTCCCTTAGAAACTTAAATTTATGCTTCCTCGAAATCCTATGATCGCTGTCCTCTTTCCAAACTTGGGAAAATCCGATGATTTTTGCCAAGTTGCTCTCATGTGAGAGCCAAAAGGGAATGGCGATGTGCGTAGGGTTGTTGGATTGGCATCCAACGCTCTCCAAATGTATGATTTTGCACTCATATTGCATGCTTAGCCTTCGCCTACGAATGGACCATAGGATTTGATGATCTTTTTCTATCCCAAAATGAATGTTGAGACATAGGTTTTGTTGAATTCTAGGTTATACCTACTCAATGCTAATGTCATGGCAAAATTGACATAGGATTAAGGGTTTTGCATTTGTCAACTTGCAATTTTCTCTATGCCCAAATGCATTTGATAACTTGTTGTAGAATTTTATTTGAACTCTTAAAGGTTCATTTTACTAATTCTAGAGCAAGTAGGGTTGATCAATCTTACTTTGGGTGTGTTGCAAGGCTTGTAAAGAAAATAACAAGTGGGCATTCGCTCTATTGTATCAAAATTCTCTAATTTGGATAATCATCGCCACATACATGCATGCATTCTAGGTTCTTCTTAGATCATACCCCAAATTGATCTTAAATCTCCTAGAAATCGTTGTGATAGATCTCTCCCATCCAAATTTCTAAATCATGCCCAAAAGTGGTTTAGAAACCTCTCCTA